TTGTCTTTTGCTTGGCCATTTGGTATTAAAGTGGACCTAAGGTATTTAAAAAATCAGACACTTCCTCGACCAGCAATGAATTTACAAAAAGAGGCATTTTATTTTTATCAGCTCCTTGTACATGAGACGAAAAGACTTTCGTTTTGCATACATTGACCCTGAGTCCTATTCTTGCTGCAGTTTCTGACACGTTATTTAGCATTACTTGCATTTCGTCATAGCTGTTAGCAAAAAGGGCTACATCATTAGCGTATTCTGTGATATGACACTTTGGACTGATACTTGGATACTTCTTTAGTGCCGACAAGTGGTGTCCAATACCCAGTCTATCGCATAGTTGAATATTGTAGGAGAAAGGATGCAACCTTGACGAAACCAGTTCTTATTTCGAAGGAGTCTGTCAGTTCTCCATATACACAGCGCCATACGCTCATAAAATGCCTTTATAAGTGGAATGATCTTCTCTGGAACACCGTCGCATTCCATCACCCTCCAAAGCATCTTTCTATCAACTGAATCAAAGGCAGCCGCAAAGTCGATAAAGCATGTGACAGTGGGTTGCAAATATCTGAAGGGATGTTCCAATACCCTTTTTAACGTGAATATGTGGTCAGCAAAAACGCATGCCTCGACCAGCATGATTAGTGCGCATTCTGCAGTCTCGAACTTTCATAAGTTTGTTGAGTAAAAGGGAAGCAAAAATTTTTGCTGAAACGTCTAGTAGGCTGATTCCTGGATAATTGTCGCATATGTCATATCACCTTTCTTGAGAATTGGGAGCAGATTGCTTTGCTCCAATCTTCTGATAATATTTCTTTTTTCCATACCAAAGAGTACATTTGTTGAAGGTGTGTTATGAAGGACGATGGACAACATTTAAAGAATTCAGCCCGAAGACCATCTTCTCCCGGAGCCTCTTTTTTTCGTAATATAATAATTGAATAAAATAAGTAATGATTTATAAATCCTTTTTTCATGCAGTTGCCAGTTTATTCGGAAGATTATCCTCGAACATACAAATTCATCGAAGACCAGCCATTATTCTTACAAAATCAAATATCAGCAATAAGAAAGATTGTTACACAAGAATACGACGCTTTCATGGTTTTATTTTTGGCACTTTTTTAACAATCAGATTGAATTGTGATTAATGTTACTATGGAAAAACATTGATTTTATTCAATTAAGAAATCATTATTAGATACCTTTTAGTTATTGAGTCAAAACTATTTTTTGTGATAAAAGTGATTCATCAATAACAAAAGAATCTTCATCAATCACGAAATGTTTTCCACTTATATATTTTCATTCTGTAAAAAACTATTAAGGCTCGTTTTGAAGGAGTTGATAAGACTGCAAAGAAAGCGATGAAGACAATGCGCTGTTAGTTCTTCTTATTAATTGTGCTACATTTAGCCACAAAAATTTTGCTTCGGATCATTTTTGAGAAAATTACAGGATTTTTATCGTTTATATTTGATTTCACGAAATATTTTCCTTTTTTAACCTGTTGAAAGCTGTTTTTTGTTTTCCTATTTTATGATATATAGGTTATTGCCTTTAAATTTTATATTTTTTTACTATTTTTAGCATTAAATAAAGCCTTTCAAGAAGAGTGGAGTATCATACCAAAAGCAGCAGCTATTACTATAGGTGGATTAGCGGGTTTTGTACTTGGAATGAAAAGATAATTATTAATTTATTACCTTTTAATATCATTATTATTATTATTTTTATTATAATTACTTTTTGCTATCAATTATGATTTATTATTCATCATTATTATTTTATAATTATTTTTTTGCGGACAATATTATATTTCAGTGTATATTTTATAGTATTATTATTTGTTTTCTAATTAATTCTAATTTGTAATAAATTATATTTTTATAATATCTTGCAAATTGTGGAAATAATTTCAGATCCACGATTCGAAGAGTTTTATACACTGGTGTCGGCTTACTTTCTATGGCTGCTTTCTGCTACCCAAACGAAACTGTTGCTATTGTTCGTACTGGTGTCACGCACTCAAGAATTTACTGGCAGAATTTTAAGGATGGTGAGTTTAAACTTTGCTTAAAGATTTGTCTTGATTCGAGTCAGCAAATTTGTTTTCTTTAAAAAACTAGCGCATCATATTAATTCTGGAAAATTTATAACGATACATCAAATATTTCATTTACATAACAACTGTTTCGTAATAAATATAATATAATACTTATCAAAACATTTTATAGCACCATCTCCGAACCGCAGCTAATATGAGAGCGCTGTAATACGATTGTGACGACAACTATTTCTGAATCCAAACTGTATTTTCTTAATTTCAATGTGACATAAATATAAGAAAAAATATGTATTTTATAACAAAGTCGTCTAGAAAATATGATTTAAATAATGTAAAAAAATGTTATTGAATCATATTTAATATTACCGTTATTTATGTTCTTATTTTTCGCTACTCTTTATCATCAAAAATAATATCCCCTTTTTTTTGAAATTCAAGTGATGTGAGTTTTTTTTTGATTTTATTCAAATTTTTTTCCAGTTCTTTTTCTTTTTCTTTCATTCGCGTCAATTCCGCCGTTTCGATATCTAAATAAAAATTGAAATTTTCAAGTTAAAGTGAAACCCAAAGCATATAAAGAAATTGAACAAATGTAACCGCCGAAACAGTGATCTTATCATTGAAAAATCCGGCTGTTGTATCCTGTATACATGCGTCCCTGCCAAGCAACTCAAAATTTATTTAGTTTATTACATTACCGTTTATCAGAAACGGCAAACTTTCTTTAAAAATCATTAAATTTCAAACAACCGCTAACGAAATCAAGAAAATTATCGTCGATCCTTTGTCGATAAAATAAAACTTGAAATTCAGCTTTTACCAAGTAATTTTGTGGCGAAAAGGTAATCATCCTAATACTTAATAAACAATGCATCCAGCCAAAATTGGTGAGTGCTGTTGGATTTCTTCTTTTTTTAAGACTCCTCACCATTACTGTTTAAGCTCCCTCCACTGGTTTCTCACATTGAGCATTATGCCAGGGAGTCCCTTGGCGATACAAATACGAGTCGTCAGCACCACCCGGATTTTCATACAGGTTTATTCCTGCGGGGAATCGAACCTCAGCAACGGCGCTTCCAATCGAACAACAACCCACTGAACCATTCTATCCCCAGTGCTTTTGAATGATGAAAAAGCAAAAGGAAATAATATTTTTAGAAATATTTTTGAAGGAAATACAGGTTATTCACAAATGTATTTTTGAAAAATAGCCATGAGATTTACCATGAGATTTTAGCGTTTTTAAATCATTTTTGAATATAAAATTTTTTGTATAGGCCGTATTGAGAATTGCTTGCAGAGATTGAAGTTCAGCTTTAGATTCGCTTACTTTTTCCTTCCAGGTTCGCAATTTTTCATCCAAATTTACCATTTCCTAAAATATAAAAATATTCGTTAAATATTAATGCATGCTAGAATCATTATTTTTTAAAGCTTAATTAGTGTAAAATGTGGCTTCGATCGCATTAGATATGTAAGACAGATGAAAGAAAAAAAAAAAAATTGGTGAACTACTTTAGGTCAGTTAGTCCATGTTGTTGAATGAAATGAAAAAAGCAACAAATAGCAAAGAATCTAATACTGTTGACTGATGTGTAAGGGATAGTGTGAAATAAATAATTAATGTGTGCTTGAATCGCTTTAACACAGGTGTGTTCCATGCCAGTGAATTAGATGACCTTTTTGTTTCCAGCATTCGGTGACTTTTCTAATTCCGTTAGCCTAATATATTTGTTTTTATACTGCTTAAGTGCTGTTTCGTTATTTTCGATTGAATTTGTCACTTGTTTCCGTATTGATTCTTGGGCTTTTCGTCGTTGAAATAATTTTTTGAATTCGGCTTGTAAATCTTTAATCTGAAAATATTTCTAATATTAATCCATATTCATTCAAATCAGAATTAGCAACACAGTTATTTCTTTTAAAAAATGGAAAGATAGCGGAATAAATTTTCCAACTGACTTCTCCGCTTCGACACATTTAAAAACAAGCAACATGGATGCGATTCGCATCTTTAAAGGGATAAATCTCCATTAAGATCAGTCCAAGTCGCTGTTGTGGACCCGTCTGTAAATTTGCGAGTAATTCTCTAGGGAAAAGCCCAGTTTAGAGTTATCTATCGTATGGAAATTTCGCCAAACGAGTCTTTTCTATTATTATAAATTATGCAGATACTGGGGTTTAAATCCAGACTAATTCGAATAAGAAACTAACTTCGGCTTTTTTCTTCCTCTCCAAGTCGATTTGCTGTGCAGCCATATCCACTTCCATCTGCTTTATTGCTGAGTCCAAACTTGTCATTTTATCTTTCAAAAGATTTTCTTCTTCTTTAAGATTCTACAAAAAACCTGTTAATTTCATGGAAGTCCTCATCTGACCGAATATGAAATATATGACTGCTTTATGCAAGTTGTTTGCCTTGTATTGTTCAACTTTTAGTCCAGCCAGACCTAACCAGAAGTGGTGAGTGCCAGTATTCCAGAGCAGAGAAAATGGTGAAATGAAAAAGCGTTAATACCTTCATTTGTTCCTCCATAGTTTTGTTAGCATTCGAAAGAATATTTGCTCTGTTGGTTAAATCTTCGATTCTTTCTTCCATTTGCTTTTTTTGGCATTCCAAATGGGAAATATTGTCTTTCTATAATGCACTGGACACCATAAAAGGCTTGTTTATGGCTTCATTCGAAGTAATAATTCCTTTGCAGAGGAAAACTTCAAGTTTGATAAGTACAGCAATCGGCCATATTTCTTATTTTTAAATTTATATTCATATTTACATTCATATTTTTTGCACCTTTAATGCACTTAATTGGCGTATTCTTTTTTGAGGCTATAAAATCGAAGATGGGCTTCGAATAGCAATGTAAATGCATCGTTTATTGCTCAGAGTACGAAAAGCAAAGAAGGGTATTATGATAACAAGAACAGTACCGGTAATTTACTACGGTGTATTTAGTACGGTACCGGTTAGATTTCTTGGATGCCCCTTTACTTTGACGATTATTCAAGCTTATGCTCCAACCATTAACGCAGAGGAAGAAATTAGTGTTCAAGTCGAAATTTACTGAACATCTAAACAAGACTGTTGCCTATGATTGGTGATAGGAATGAAAAATATAGTTGAAAACAAGGCAAAAGGTTGTGGTTTAGGAATGGTGCAGAAGATCGATTTCAATTTCAACTTATCAATTTCTGTGAATCTAATGATTTCTTAATGATAATCAAACTGTTTTCAAAAATTCGAGATGGCACCTCTATACATGGACTTCATCAGATGGAATACATAAAAATCAAATTGATATTATTGTTAAAAGGAGTTGGAAGATCTCAATTATTATGGCGAAATAAGGAAAAATAAAAAACAATCTTTCAAAGGATTTTTGAATCCCAAAGGAAGCTCCAATTTCGAATTTTTGTGGTAAAAGGCATTAATGGGCAGATAACAACCAATTTAAGAAACCATAAGAAAATGGAAGAAATATATCGAAATATAGATGTATATATTTAAATACCATATATATATTATATTACTTACAAGAACCTCTGCTACGGAATGAAGTAAAATCAGCACTCCATTATTAAACCTAAAGAGCTAAATGGACTAATAAGATACGCCATGAAATTTGGCAAGCGATAGAAGGATGATGAAGGATAAAAGAACTAGTTCTAACTAGGCTATGCCAGTAAATCGTGTAACCAGTAACCAATCAACTGAAAGAGATCATTCTGTATTCCAATAGCAAAAAAAGGTTTAAACAGATGAACCAGCGCCTGACTTTAATTTCGTATGTTAGCAAAATATTAGCAAAATAATGCATAGAATATCGAGAAATCCAGATGTCAGATGCTCAGGCTGATTTTAAAAAACGTCGAGCAATATTATTGATATATGACGGATGTATGACGGATGACTAAAAAAGCCAAAGAATGCCAAAAAGAAATTAAATTACGCTCTATAGATCGAGGAGCTTTTGATTGCATCGACTCAAGATATAGAATTTTCTCAAAAATGGGAATATCTCATTATCCTTATGAAGAACTTTACAAGTCAAGAAACCACGGTACAAATAGAATATAATGAAACATACTGGCCCTAGGTTGGCAAATGATTGTTACAAGGATGCTCTTTCACTATTTATTCAACTTATATGTGGGAAAACCTTAATAGTCAAACGGAGTTGATCTATACAGTAATGATGCGAAATTTTAGAAGAAGATATACGAAATATATGTTAAAAAAGGTTCGTTTAGAAGAAAATAAGTGTGATTTTAACCTGGAAACCTGGAAGAAGGAATAACCTTCGCTATGCTGACGACACTATTTTGATAGCCCAAAATGCCAAGGATCTTCTCAAATCTTAGCATTTAAAAGAACAGTGGAAAAAGGAACCAAAAATAAATGTAAAGAAGATCAAACCAATGACGAAAGGCAGAACAACCATAGAAATGGCAATCAGTGCGGACAGAAGTGATAATTTCCGAATTTTTAAGATCAATTAATAAAGACACAAATAATCCAGAAACACGCCGTAGATTAATACAGCCTCGGAAAAGAAATGCCGTGATTTGATAATATTTGATAATATTGATTTGACAATAATATGATTTGATAATAGATTAAAAACCACAGTATTCCCTGTGTCTTTCAATGGGTACGATATTTAGTCAAGAAATCTAGCTAGGAAAGCTAGGAAAATTGCTAATGTGGAAAAGGTTCCTAAGTGGAGAATCAAGAAAATAAGCTGATGGACCATTGAAGCCAGGATTATCACTTGAGGCACAAATAATTAAGTTAAATTGGTCTAGACATTACGCGATCGGGAATTAATTCGTCTCCTAATAAATAGTTATTTTCTAGTAGTTATAACGCAGTATTCCGTTGTTGGTTGATTCACATTCTAAATTTCTCCACTAAATAAAACAATAAATTTTTAATACTTGAAATAAATATTAGAATTCCGATTAACTTTGCTCATTCCTAATCGAATTAAATTCTGCAATTCTGTAACAGATTTTTTTTGGCAATCGTGGTGTTCTATCTTCTTCGAACGATATCCGGCATTTCTGGTATGGCTGGTTTCACTGGCTACTGGGATAAGAACCTTTCGCCTAAGAGTCACTTAATGATATAATTATCAGTGGGTATCTAGCGGAATTTAAATTTCACTTTTAATAATAGGTTTGTTCCAGTCAAGAAACAAAAATCAGACCAATGATAGTTGACTTTGACAAATAACGTACCAGTCGACTGCACTGCCATAGTGATATATTATCAAAAAGTTAATCTTACGACGTAGCTCGAATTGTTGTAGTCATTATCGATTATTTTATCTGTTAATGAAGATATTGTTGAATTGTTTGGAACTGCCGATGATAATTATGTTTTGACCCCTTTTTTTCGCTTTTTATTTACGATGCTGTCTATCGAAGAGTCCCCGCTACCATGAAAAAATTGTTAATTATTTCTCTTTTTTGATTCGCCGGAATGTTTTCTTAAAATTTCGAAGTCAGCTACCACTTAACAGCATTCAATAACATTAACAAATAAAGCAAATTCTTTAGTTGATGGAGCAAATATTTTAAAGCCTTTTATGCAATTAAACAAGTGTATTTCTGCGAAATTATATAAACAAATATATTTCATGCATAGGACAAAACTGCGAGAAGCATTAAGCAAACAAATTTTTTGAGCAGTTTGGCCGACGTTAAAAGTGTCCGAATATTACGAATATCATGCTTTTTTTACAGAAAAATCCTTACGTTTGCATTCAAACGCTTTTGCAAAACTTCATCATCAGAGTGATTTTGCATATTGCTGATACGAATGAGTTTTTTTCCATTTTTCAGGATCTCAGAAAAATTATCCACATCAGAAAAACTGCCCAATTTACTCTAAAATCATTCGTAAATCAATATTTTTTCATAAATGTAAGAGTCGAAATTATATTTAGATCGAAAACTGCAAGCAATTATGGCTTTGTTAACAACAAAACAGTGGTATGATGATATTGATGAACGGAAAAACTGGAAAACTAGGTGAAAAGGGCGGCGGAACGAACAATTACTTATACTTATATTATTTTGATATTAGATTGGTGGGCTTGGAGAATTCCCCACTCTTGCAGCTTTGACTATCAATGAGTTGCGGGATAAAAGCATTCAGTTTTTTATTTAAAATATGGGACGAAAATCCAATTTAGTTGAAGAGGAAGGTAAATAAGATACTTCCTTGGTTACGCATCCACTTGCATTAGTTGATCGTATTTTAATAAAAAGATCCTAACAAGTAATTTTTAATTTATAAATAAAGCTTCGAACGCAAAAAGAAAATGTTTTTCAAAATTATGATAACGGAAAAGCTAGGTGAAAAGGACGGCGGAAGGAATAACGCAGCCAATGAAATGATTTAACCTGATCCGAAATATGTTTATTTGGATTATTATCTCGGGCGTAACGGATCTGCCAAGGCGGGATAAACCTGTCACTCCGGGTGATGATCGAGACCCAGCCGATTTTTGCCACTAGTGACTATCCAGGCGAAATCATTAGCAACAGGATCCTAACCAGAAGTGAATTCGCTGAATTTCTTCCTTATGAGCCAAATGTGTTTTTTACTTGAATACCTCGTTTTGCAGTTGATTCCATTCTTTTTCACTCTGTAAGCATTTCTCTTTCATTATTTTTAATTCATTTTCAGCTTTTGATAATTTCGATTTTATATTGTCCAGATAAATTTTCCGTTTCTCCAGTTCTTTTTCTCTTTCTTCTAGCATAATTTCTTGCTTTTGACGCTCTTTTTTAAGTGTCGTAACCTGAATGAATTTTATAACAGAAAAATTTTATTTATAATTTTATTATAATTTTCTATGAGAAAAAAAGGTTTTCATTCAACATTTAATTAATTTCCCTCTCCTTAAGATCGAATTTTGATAGAAGACATTTCGTTCCAAATTTTATTCCATTGAAGTAATCATTTAGTTAAAAACTTCTCCCAGTCACAAAATAACCATTTTCTGAACAATAATTTGAAGAAAACATTTCTAAAAAGTTTCGTCATCACAAGACAAATCATAGATTGGATGGGGATTGTCGCATTGTTGCGACTAACAAGTCTTCATTCCAGTAAAATTACCCTTAAAAATGAAATACGGACGGTATTTAGGACCGGCCACTTGCTTCTATCTCCAGGCGATTCTCTGGCGAAGGAGTACCATTCTTAATGGTCAAAGTAGATGGGCTAGTGAAACTAGAATTAATTAAGATCGAAATTTCGCGTAGTCTGTTCGAATAAATATATTTTTATAAATTTAAATGGGAAATTAAATTCTTTTAGTCAATTAGTTCTTCAAATCCTAGTAAGATAGAAGTCTAAGATATGTTTCTTTTACAGTAGTGATTTGATTTGAGGGATATTTTAAACCCTTAAAAATTTTAAGCATTTTTTTAAAGAGCTTTTCTTCTGCAGATTTTATATCTTTCGAAATTTATCATGTCTGAAATTAAGCTTAGAATTTTTTTTTAACTAATTCACTATGTTATTATAATACTATGAAAATAGTTTTAGCTGTGAAGATCCACTGAAAAGGTCTCGAAGAGCCTCCAAGATCCTCAGGCCTACTTCAGCAACACTGTAAAATCTGTCAAATATCACCTGTTAAACAAGATTCGTGCATTATTCAACAGTTATTGTGTCTCTGTTTTTAATCACGGTTCGCACCATGCACCGTTAGTTAACTTACTAAAATATCACTCTCTTCTTTTGATTTGGCGTTTCGCATAAGTGAATTGAGAGTTTTTTCGAATTTTTCCTTCATTATTTTTTGCTCCTTATTGCGTTTTTTTCTTTCATGGATTAGAGTATTTATTTTGGCCTGAAATATGTTTTCATCGCTCTTAAATCGATCGATCTTCTTGCTTTTAGACGATAATCACCTGGTATGAAATGCCAAGCAATATCTAACCTCTTCCTCTAATTCGCTCAATTTAGATTGTTGAATTTTTTGCTGCATTTCAGAAATTTGTTGCTTAAGTTTTGCCAAATTAAGTTCGAGCTTCTAAAATTTTTTGTTATCACATCATATCATGTTGTCATTTTTTATGAACGCTTTGCAGATGACAAAACTTTTACTTCAGTAAGTTTTTTATCATTCTCGAGTGCTTTCTTTATTTGCTTACAAGATTTTTCTCTATCACTGATTTGATTGTTTAGGTTTTTCGTTTCAATTCGTTTTTTTTCGTCTGAAAAAACATTTAATTTTTTTCCACAAAACATTAGTACTAAAAACTGTAAAATAGTCACCGGCTTGTTAGATTTCGACAAATGGTAACTTGGAAATAGAAGAAGAAATGTGTCTCCAGTGTCACCAAGATTTCACTATTAAATAATTTCACTTTAAATGGTTTCATTCTCATCAAGGAAGAGAATCGATATATCCTTGAAAATCATTTACATTCATAAATTTTAGTGAATCTTCCAAAATATTGTTAATCAAGTTTAAATGAAATTAACCATTTCGTTGAAGATCATCGTATAGGTGCTTCTGGCTATTATAAATATTAGTTAATGATTTGATTCTGCTTTTAATTCTTGCTAGTTCTTGCTCAGTTTCTGTGGCATCAGCCAGAGCTCGAGCTTTCTCAATTTTGATAATTTTAAGTAGATGATTTTCTTGTTCCAATTGTTGGTCATTTGCATCATTCAAACTCTTAAAAATAATACGTGAACTTGGCGAAAAAAAATTTTTTTTGACGTGATGAGAAGAAAAAACCCACAAAACCTTGAGAAAATCTCGCTCGTTGGAGTAAGAGTCAAGCGATTCATCCAAACCAGTTCTTATCTGCATCAGCATCTCATTTTTATTTTTTAACTTGGCCAATAATTTTTGTTTATTTTCCACCTTTAATCAGAGATTATTAACAATTTGTTTTGTACTGAATCTTGTCGTTGAAAAAAAAAATTTACCAAAAATCCACTTTTAGAATATATTAAAATTTATCTAAAAATTCAGGATAAATGGTTGATAATAACAATAACGTAAAATAAATAAATGGTTATCGCTCATCATTTCTGCTGTCAATGCTAGTTGTAAGTTGTAGGTCAAAAATTTTTGCCAGAGAGCCTGGTGATAAAAGTATAGGTGAGTCAGCAGCACCACACGCATTTTTCGGTGATGGGTTTATTATTTTGAGCGTGCAAGTACTCTTGCCTTTTAACCACTCGTTCTCATATAATTATGGGTCGAAAAAGTTCTGCGATGCCAAATCAGTCAGTCCACTGTTTTTATGAAGAATAAGGAACATGACTTGGAAGAAACAAAAACCGAAATTTTCCAGAAATTTTGGACAGTAAGTCACTTACCTCTCTATACAATTGAGTATTGAAAATTCCTTCGACAGGAAGATTACCTTTAATTTCAGCGTCACCTATGTGAACAAACAAATCAGCGAATTTTGCCGAATCCGATTTCTGACTACCTTTTATCTTTTTAGCCATTAAAGTACGTCTTTCCTCAAATCTAGGATATTTTTTAAAATAATAGATAACCATGGTGATTTAATTTTGCCGTCGAAATATTCAATATTTATTTTATCGACCTTTATTTAGCAAAACTTCTGTTAATACAATTTCCATTTGTCATTCTTAGAGCCTTTACGCCGCCAGAACGGTTGAGAGGTTCAAGCGAATTCAGTGAAGTGGCATTCGAGTGTTACTCAGTTGCAAAGCATCGAATTTTATTTCTGTCATTTCTATCGCCAAGTGATCCTCTAACAAAATTTTCTGAGCTGACAAGCCAACCAAACGAGAAACGCTCGTAGAAGAACTGTAATCGCCGCTCGCACTTCAACAGTGCAGCCAGCCAGATCCAAATTCAGAAACACTGTTAGAACAAGAAAGTATTTAGAAGTTGTCAACGATTTTAGTATTCAAAAATTTTTATAATATTATCACTTTCCAAATTCAGAAAACAAATTTTTAAAGGAGAATACCCATTCTTTTCCGTTTTACCTATCATTTAATGCAAATTTCTTTCTTTTTGACGTGATTATGATCGGAAATTATTCTCCGCCGATAAATTCATACAAATAAATATGAATTTGTGCTTTTAATTTACGAATAGATCGGACAATTACGCGCGCTCCCTCAGCCTCATTTTTTTCTTTCCCTTTTTTTCATCATCCCTTGATTTATTTCGTCTATGATCCATGTCATTCTTAAGCTTTCTTCAATATTTTGCCTTTCAACCCCTCTCCCCTCCCTCTTCTCTTCTTTCCTTTTACGTTTTACCACTTTTATGGTACAAAGTTTCAGAAACGAAGTAATAAGCACCACCTTTCCTCCAACTTACAGCATACAAACGAAAATCATCATCCATTAAACCATCAACAATTCATGCAGGTCAGTGAATTTTGCAAATATTTTTCCTATTTTTAGCAACACTAACAATCAGTTGCAGATAGTTTCAAGCGTTCGCCTAGAACAAACTATCATCTCGTAGAATTGTGTTTTTTCTATGAAATTTGTTTTATTTAAGGCATTCCCGGCATTTTTTTGTTTTTCTTGATTTATTAGTTAAATTTTCCTAAAAAACTTCATTTCTGATTTGTTCTAAATAATTTAAAATAAAACAATAATAAATAATAATATGCCGAATTAAAAGTTTCTGGAATAGAATGGGTTGTTACTCGAATGCGCTGATTTGGTATTTTAGATTTGGCAGGAGTAAGCCTGTATTTCAAAAATCCGAGTGGTATTAGCGATTCATCTATCGCGAATCCCTGGCAAGCGAAGTGGCAAGCGAAGTGAGCCTAACGAAAGTGATCGCTTTTTGAAAATAAATAATTCTAATAGCTTTTTCTTTTTTTAATTCTAATTTCAGAGATTTGTTCCTAGCAAACTGAAAGTAAGCAAATAAAAACAAATTTAATAAAAAATAAAAAATAAACTAAAATTTAATAAATTTAATAGAAAAAATTTGCAAATAATTTCACTTCCATTAACAATAAAGATGCAAATTTAGATTTAAATCTTACGAGCTTCTAAAAATTATTTTTTATTTTAAAAAATCATATAAAGGAAGTGAATTTGGAAGGCGAAAAATTATTTTCGGAGATTTTAAATCTTTTTCGGTTTTCAAAGGTAAAATTATATAATTTAAGAATGGTATAAATTCCATAATTTTTTAAAAACATATTTTATTCGTTCTTCTCTACTTTTGTGTTGTTTGGTTATTGAATAGGATGGGGGATGGTTGTTACGTCGAACACCAGAATCCCCGTTATTCCTCCGACGGGAAAATACCCATGGGCTGACCCGTCGTGCTTCTGACTCCCCCTGGCAGTAATTTTTCAACACATATTGACCGCTAATGGCGTGAGCGATAAAGAAGATGGTAACTGCCGAACATTTTTATTTTCTCTTCTCAGTGATCTTTACTTACTGGTGCAAGGGATCGACGTTTTATAGAGGAACTGGCAATAAATCTAGGATTTTAGGTGCTTGTCGAAATTTTACTGATGGCAAAGGACAACTTTAAATTTATGCAAGAAAAGGAAAAAGGAGAGTGAGAAAGGAAATTCCTTTTCTTTTAAGTGCCGCCTTTTTTTAGTTTTTAGTTTTCTGTAAATATATTATTTTTAGTTTTTGTGACTTTTCATGAATAACCTTCTATAGGAGGAATTCGATTTAACAATAAACCTATCACGTCTTTTTCTATGATTTTGTTTTGTTGAAAATTCCATATTTCCATATCCGTTTCATTTTAAATCACTCGTTTCTTCTGCTATTTTCGAGCGATTCGTCAGTTTCTTTTTTTTCAGTTAATTAGCTTCAATAATGATTATATTACGCGATGTGGTGTTACCTACCACGGATATCCGATTGCAGTGCGATGTGAATTGTTATGTGTTTCGTGATAGCCTTGGAATTGGAGAGCTTTACATTACTGAAAAGTTATTTAATTTTGTACATTTTTAGATTTTTTCCCAAACTTTTGCAATATTATATAAATGGGATATATTTAATATATAATGGGATATATGGGATATAAATGGGAAATGGGATAGAATTCACTAGAATTTCTTTTTTCTTCTTTCCGTCTGACTACAATCTCCTTTTTGATTTAGCTGGTTTTGCTCATTGCTGGGCGGAACTCTTGCGCCAGAGACTTACTTATAAGTAGAAATACAAATTATTTCCATATGAGTTAATAAGGTACAAATGCTGAAAAGATCAGACTTAGCCATCCGGATTTCACTTTTAATAAAAGGCTTAAGGATAGAGACCATATTTATATTATGTTGCCTGATCTTTTCTTTAATTTTACTGGACCATCTTACCAGGTTTAATATGCATTAATAAGTAGTTGAGCTTTTTTATCCGATAAGGTTCATATCTTTTTTGATATTTTTACCCTAGAAACCACTAAAGAAATAACTAAGTAACTAAATAATTCAATAGAACATCCAAGAGGATTTCCAGATTAATTGTACCGATTTTCGCTCATACCATTCCATATTTCATATTTATGATTATGGCTTAGTAAAGCGTTGTACATTTGGCGATTATGGCTTGTTAATCCGTAATGTTATAGCTTCCACATTAATTAAAAATGTATGCCATAAGTATTTATATATACAAAATATTTTTTTAATTTCTTTATATTTTTTTGATTTTTCTTTAGTGCTATCACATGGAAATCGAAATTTTCCGAGATGGGTTTTACTTTGACCTACGAATCAATAATGATTTTTGCAATTTCTCGAGATCACGATAGTTTTGCTTCTGATTGCATTTATTTAACAGTTGATTCAAATGGAGCTGGTAAGAGTTACGAGATATAAATAATCCAAATATTTCCAAAATCGAATTATATAATGAAAAACATAATTACAAAAATTAAATTTTACTTCAGATTATCATCATTTTCAAGAGTCGAATGCAGTTTTAAAATCCGAATTATGTTGCTTGTATTATTTACTTAAAATATTTAAGATATTTATTTTTTAAATTTTTTGTTTATTTATATGAAAACAGTCAAGCGTTATATTCTTATTTACCAGTAAAAAAATAGTTAAACAATTTAATAGGGAATTTAATAGAAAAATTCGAAGCGATCGATAATGCCTTTGCTTTCTTTTTTTCTAGATTTCTCATTGGAATTTGGAGGAGAAACTTCTGATCATGATTCTGAACCTACTGGAAGCGTTATTATGCGTTTTGTTCCTTCACAAGATGAAAAACGTAATTTTTGATTTTTATTGGTAAATTCAAATGTTATAAAAAAAATAAAGTCGTTTTATTATTTATTCATTTATTTTATATATGTTTTTTGCCAAGGTATTGATATAATTTTTAGTGGAAGAAATTTATCATCATCTTAGTGTATGCCAATCGATGAATGCTTCTTCAGGTAAAACTGTATAAAATTCTCTTTTCTTTACTATTTTTTGCAGTGATCATTTTAAGGCACTTAAAAACGAATAGAAGATGAAGCGATTTACTACTTTTTTTTTTCTTTCAGAGAATTATTTATTGGGTCATGATAGCGATGATGATTTTTATGGGAATTCTGGTTCATGTGAAGAAGATCGAGAAGAAGAAGAAGGCGATGAAGGATTGAGTGCAGAAGGAAGAGCAAACTTTGAAAGAATAATGCGAAATAGCCGTCAGTTTTTATTTCATAAAATTTTGTTAATTGAATTTTATGAAATGTAAATTAATTTTATTTTGAAAAATTATTTATGAAAAATCATTTTCTGCTATTTGCTTTCACAGTTTTTTGATGACTTTGCTTTATATATTACTTCATATTGTTTGATTCAAATTATTGTGGGAACTGGAAATCGACTATCTAAGCTTTTTTGACGATTTTTAGGATTAAATCATTTCGAAGGTGATGGAAGCGACGAAATGGAACAAGAATAATTATGATTCGAATTATTTTTGTTTGATTTTGTTTAATTTTTAAGATTTTTTAGAATTTTTTTATTTTTATGGAGGGGATCGAATTAATCAAGGAAAATTCTCAGTATTTAAAATAAGACAAATCGTTTTTCCATCTTTCATTAAACTAAATAAATTCTGAAGTCTGAAAAAAAAAACAGAATAAGGAAGCGTCGTCTTTGATGATAATTAGAATTTTTTTCTGAAGCTTCATTCGTGATTTTTTAAATAAGGAAGAATGGTTCATTTATTGATTTATACATTAATTTTATGGCAGTAAATATCAATCCTAATTGGTCTTATCATTATAATAAAAATTTCCTAAAATTTTTCAGTTCTCTTCATCCATATCGCATAGTTATTGTTCGTATAACAATTGTTCGTATAAGAATATTGTTTAGAAAATAATTAATAGTTAGAGGATCATAAAAGAACGCGGTTGTTATTGTTATACGGTTTATAAGTTTTTCTAGAATATATGAAGTCTTTTAGTGATTCCAGCGATTATTAAAGCTCGTTTAAATGTGGAAATCTTCGAAAAGTAATCGTAGCAAATTATTTTAAAATTCATAAGAACATAAAATTATTTGTTCTTTTTGATTCATTAATTAATTAAACATTCACTTTGGGCTGAGTTGATTGTTACGGTTTATAATGGGAATTAAAATTTGCTGAAAATTTTCTAATATTTCTGGAAATTGAAAAATGTGAAGGAGTAGAAAGAATTCTCAAAAAAAAAGCAATCACTTTTTCCTGCAATTGAGATTAGTTCATTAATAATATGCAATGATGTATATATTAAAAGTAAGCAAGTTGAAAATGGTTGCGTTAACTTGAACTGTTGCATAATGCACTATGACTTCGGCCTTAGTTTGAATGTTAAAATCATTTGAAGCTATTACCGCGATTATTATGCTGAAAATTACTGACGATAATTGCTCTGCCACTATGGTAAAAATTTATTTTCCATATATATTTTTTTCATTTTTCATTACAATTCAGATAAGTCTTCTTAAATTTTTAATTTTTTTTTACCAAACAACGATTAAAATAAAATAAAATTAAAATTTAATCAATTGAATCAATCAATTAAATAAATTATAAATTAAATCATTATATATACATATAGTAAATATACATATATATACTTATAAATATATACATATATACATTTAATTGCCTCATTCTTTTATTATTTTCAAAATTTCATTGTCTATTTTGTTTTCTTTAAATTTAATTTTTTTTTGTCTTTGGCAAAAGTAAACCTGCTATTATGTCAAAAATCCGGGTGGCTACTGGGGATCCACTTATAACTCTATCCCCAAGTGACTCTGCGGTGAAAGGGTCAGATACATTTCCCAATGCGCATGATACTCCAAACCCGATGGTATATGCGATAAGTATACAATCCGGGATTAAAGCGATCCCAAGGCTGGTAAATAAAATGTGCCAGAATAATTGCTTGAAACCTATCAAGGGGAACAGCTCTCTGCACTCATCAGCGTGGAACGTCAGAACATCTTATGGACATTACAAGCCAAATGATCACTGTCCACAGCCGCTCTAAGTATCATGTGGATATCGCTTGCTTGTCGGGGGGTCCGTCTTCCTCACTTTGGTCTCGAGGAATTATTAATCCTGGTTCAGAGCAGAGATACTGGCTATATCACTGTGATGCTTCGAATAACTCGGGACGAAATAGCGTAGCGATTGTCTGATAAGGCACATTCCGTTTTGATTGAGTGGAAACCGGCCTACCGTATGGCCTATGCTTGTTTTAAGGATAAGTTCTGCAATATCTCGGTCATCAGTGTCTATGCTCCAACTCTGTCGGCAGATGATCGAGATAAAGATAAATTCTATGCGGAACTTCAATTGCTGATAAAGTCTCTACCGAAACATGACATGATCATAATCGGGGGAAACTGGAATGCTTGCGTAAGTCATAATGCAACTGCAATGACCTCAACAATTGGTAAATATGGGACCGGTGTGTCAATGGAGAATGTCTTCTTTGTTATGCCGAAGAGCATGAACTTTTCGTTACTAATACTTGCTTCCGGCATCATAGAAAACATCTAGTCACATGGAACTCCCTGGATAACCAACACTTCAATCAGATTGATTATTTTTTAGTCAGTCGCCGTTGGAAGAGTTCCATACTAGATAATCGTTCCTATATTCGTGGATCTGACCATGTTATGGTTTGAGCCAAGATCCGCATAAAATTGACAAAAAACAGCATCCCTCAAGATCCTTAACTATCTCAAATATCTATCAACTATCTTAAACTAAAAAATTCGGTGAGTGCATTTCAAACCGAATTATTGAAGCATCTCAATGATACAATTATCAATGATTTTTCTGGAACGGCAAATAAATATTAGTCCAAACTAAATGAATGTCTTCGAAAATCAGCCACTTCCACGCTAGGACATACTAGTAGGAGGTGCTAATTGGGTATCAGAAGCAACTGTTCAACTGTCTGAAAAAGCACGAATGTCAGGCGATCCTGATTACGGGATGCTTCGAAGATTTGCAACGGAAGTAGCACAGCGGAACAGAAATCATTGGAGTGACATGGCCTCAAGAATGGAGGCGGCGGCTCGATTAAGCGATAATAAGAAATTTCCGCCTTCTTCATAAAGCAACTATAATGAACGATCAGTGGAATGGTAAGGGACAGCAATGGCGTGCCAGTCAAGAATATTAAGAAGCGCCTCATAAGATGGAAAGAATTCTATGAGGCCAAACTTAACCATGAAGCGCCGTCTGTTGACCTTGATATAACGATACGTTTACTGAACCATATGCTTGCAACTGCGATCCCCCGATAGAAGAAGAAATAATATCTGTTATCAATAAGCTTAAGACCAATAAGGCAGATGTTCTTCGGGCTGAACTCTTTAAATATTGTCTATCGTCCTATATAACATACATTCAACAAATGCTCAAATACTCTCTGGTATGGGAAAAAGAAATATTACCAGATAACCGGAGCAAAGCAATTCCGCTCCCAATTCTCAAGAAAGGTGATACGACATATGCGACAATTATCGAGGAATCAGCCTACTAGACGTTTCAGCGAAAATTTTTGCTTCCCTTTTACTCAACAAACTTATGAAAGTACGAGACTGCAGAATGCGCACTAATCATGCTGGTCGAGGCATGCGTTTTTGCTGACCACATATTCACGTTAAAAAGGGTATTGGAACATCCCTTCAGATATTTGCAACCCACTGTCACATGCTTTATCGACTTTGCGGCTGCCTTTGATTCAGTTGATAGAAAGACGCTTTGGAGGGTGATGGAATGCGACGGTGTTCCAGAGAAGATCATTCCACTCATAAAGGCATTTTATGAGCGTATGGCGCAAGTCTGTGTATATGAGGAACTGACAGACTCTTTCGAAATAAAAACTGATGTCCATCAAGGATGCGTCCTTTCCCCTACAATATCCAACTATACGATAGACTGGGTACTGGATACCACTTGTCGGCACTCAAAGGGTGTCCAAATCAGTCCAGAGCATCGTATCATAGATCTTGAATACACTGATGATGTAGTCCTTTTTGCTGATATTTATGACGAAATGCAAGCAACACTAAATAACGTGTCAGAAATAACGTGCAGCAAGAATCGGACTCAGGATCAATGTAAATAAAACGAAAGTCTTTTCGTCTTATGTACAAGAAGCTGATAAAACGCCTTTTTTTGTAAATTCATTGCGGTTGAGAAAGTGTCGATTTTTTAAATACCTTAGATCCACTGTAGTACCAAATGGCGAGGCAAAAGACGGTATTACAATCCGGATCACCTGCTAGAAATGCGTTTGACGAAACCTTCATGGAGTCGTCGTGAAATCACCATAAAAAAAAAGTCCGCATTTATGTAGCTGTGATTCGATCTTGCTTTACGGCCAATGAGAGTGGATATTAAAAAATTATCTGCTTTTGACCACTTTATTCTAAGGTATATTTTACGGGTTCCGTCGAGCAAATAAAATATCACATGATCGCATCCATCTTCGCTCAAACACCACCTGTATTAATAATGTTATCACAGAGCGTCGCCTTCGGTGGTTAGGGCACGTTCTGCGTCCACAAGAGTTGTTGCATATTTCATTACTTGCTAAACCGTATGATGGATGGCGTCAAAAGCGAGGTGGGCCAATCAAGACCTGGACTGATACGGTCAGGAAAGATTTTGAACGTATAGGTTGACCAGCAATACATGGAGTTAGACGATGGAAAAAGGAATGGTTTCTATTACTGTCGACGATGGCATCAGACCGCGCGTTTGGATGCCTCTTACCCTTGGAGCCAGCCTAACCAGTAATGGTGAAAGTTAAAATTTTTCGCAGAATTTGAAATAAATTTAAATAAATAGAATAAATATTTTTAATAAATATTCATTCCAGGTAATTTATATGTTTACATGTTTATACAACAACTTTTTTAAAAGTAATACCGACCAAAAATTGCAAAAAACTAGCAAATAAATTTATTCGTCAGCTTTCATCGAATACGCCAAAATTTGTGAATCTATTAACTGTTTTGTCTTATTAATCTTAAATTGGACTCATCATAGAGAAGGGGGTGTGTGGAGTGGGGGAAGGCGCCCATATAGAGTTTCCGCGTTATTAATTATCTCTATGCTTCTCCATTAAGAACTTTGAAACAGTTCATCTATGAGTATGAGTAAAATAAGGCTGAATTATTTATAGAAAGATTTACTTGATCATTGCACATCACTGACCACATGCAGTTTGTAGTGTATCATATTCTGAGTTACCGTAAATAGCCGATGATGCGTGGATATTTTAAAAAGTTCCAAATCATTGCAGTGGAATTTCAATCAGTTATTGTAACAATTCTCAGTGGCATTCGTGGTTCTTGCGGCACAATTGGTTGCAAAATTTCGGTGAATCCAATATAGAAAAAGAAACTGAATCTGAACTTTGACTTTTGTGAACTTTCGCAAGCAACTTAATTTCCTAAACAATAAACATCGAAATTTCTAAAATTTGAAAGGTTTAAAAATTTCTAAAAATGTTTCAATTTTGCTGATAGACTAAAAATTTTTCTCCTTTTCAGAAAAAGTCATTGAAAATACTTTTTATTCAATTATTCGATTCATACGATTAAAATTAAATAAATTAATTTTCGGTCCATTAATTTTAAGAATTTAATGAATTTTTATTTTAAAAAATGAAACATTTCGTGGGATTTTAGTACTTGAAAAGTAATATAATACTTTTGAAGAATTTCAGTTGAAAATTGAAGGTAAAATTTTTGATGAAATGCGATTTGTAATTTTTTATTAATGTTTGATATAAAATATCATCATTGAATGCGATTACTTTTGAATCGAATCAAAAATTGTGGTGATAATTGTCAGTTCGATTAATTGCAATGAAAACAGTCATCGTTCTTTTAGAAAAATTCTAAAAAATGAGAATATCGACTAATTTAATATACCATTTGCAATTTGGTTCGCTCGCCTTATTGCTAGAATGAAATGGTTTCTCCAAGAGGCGCCTGAGAACTGAGAAGACAAGTGAATGCTCAGCTCAGCATCCACTTCAATTTCACCTTTAAAGTTAACTCTCATCAAATGATATAAATCAAACCTATAATGTATGTCGAAGTGGCACTCTCCGATCCTTTTAATATTAATCAAGGAATTGAATTCTGTTTGAATAATGAAGGTTACTTACAAGTTATTTACTTACAAGTAAATGATCAGAAATGCACACTTGAGAATGTTTTGATTTAATTAAAATACCGCATAAGTTTTTATTATCACTTGAGCAGTGCTGTCACTATCACCATCAATCCATAAATTTTTTTCGCTCTTGCAAACGAATTTTCAACAAAGCATTTGAGTGGAAATATAATAACAAGATCATGAATCAATGATTCTCCATAATTTGCATTTTTTTAATCCCTATTCTAATTATAATAATAATAATGTTAATACTGATTGTGTACATCGCTTGGTATCTTGAATGGAATTGGTTTGAGTCAAAAAATAATTTTAATTTTAAAATCTTTTATTATCGAAATTATTAGAATCGGTTTTAGAAATTATCTCCTTAAATCAATATATTCAATAACTGTAATGATTTAAGCATTCTTTTTTATTTAAATATAAACATAAATATAATTTGTTTTTCAAAAAATTTAAAGGATTGAATTATAGTTTAGAAAATGAAGTTGCCAAGCAAAATTTTAGATTTATTAGGAATCGTAGTTATTATGATTGAAGAAACGAATATTAGAAACTGTAAATTGTCGATAAGTCATTTCAGTTATTTAAAATATTTTGGAAGACCTTTATCTAAATTTTTGATTTCTGCTTTTTTATGAATGGTTAAATAGGCCGTTTTTATTGATGAATGCTTCGATTTTCTATAAATTTTTCTCGATAATAAATTTTTATAAATTTAAATTCATAAATTTTCTTGTAAAAAATACAAATATCTGGAAGAAATTCACTCTTGTTTTTAAATAAATTCTGTGAATCGTGTAACAATTCAAGTTATCCACTTTTTTAAAATTTTTCTTAATAATAACACAATTGTTAAATTAATAAGCTTCGACCATTATGCACCGTTGAATCGTTGAACCTTTTAGTCTTTCCAGTCCTTAACCGAATGTCAAATAGTTTATCTACTGATTGTTTTACAGCAGCCATTCCTTTCGAAAAAAAAATGAAATTATTATTTAAATTAGTTAAACTATATTAGTTAAATGTAAATGGATATAACTGATTGGACGCAAAAAATTGTAGATAAGTCATTTCAGTTATTTAAAGTATTTTGGAAGACCTTTGTCTAAATTTTTAATTTCTGCTTTTTTATGAATGGTTAAATAGGCTAATTTTTAAAATGAAATTTTGAATGAAACAGAATTTTGATAAATCTCATACTGTTGATGCAGAAAATGCATAGTTTATAGCAAAAATACTAAACATTAGTTTAAAATCACTTAAAATCAAAATTCAGCCAGCAAATTTGAAATTTTTTCTAAGTTGAATCTTGTTTTACAGATTTAAGGGGAAGCCTGTAGGAGACATCTTTTTTCCTGTTCAATAGTAATTCCAAACGATAATATACAAAATTTAGGTACACTGGATAATGTTCACAGTGAAATACTTTATCGCAGTTGCTACAGTAGCGATTGGTGCAAGCACGCAATTTTATAGTTACGGTATCGTCAATCCTGTTCTGCCATTAGTTACGGAATGGATTAATCAAACATATATTGAAAGGTGAGAATAACCTATTAACATCGGGGATGGTCAAGGGTAGCATAGTTGCTTCAAAGTGCGATTTCCACCTTCAGAGATACGATTCGATTCTCTTATTCTGAAGTAGCAAACCTGTTATAAAAATTTGCTTACCTGTGTTGTGAATTACTGGCAAAAATTTATAACCGCATATTTATATCGTATACCAGTAAAGCTAGTCTAATTAGAAATGGTGAATACTAACCAATTTTTAAATGAAACACTTGTAAACTCTTTTTTCAATCGTTTTTTTTATCAAGATAAGATAAAACACCAGATATGGAACAATAATGAACAAGAGCCAGTTAAATATTTTTTGGTCATTCGTTGTATCAAGTATGGCAATTGGTGGAATTTTTGGATCACTTATGACACGGTAAGGATCATTTTTTAGTTATCATGCATGTACTAGCATGCATGATATATTTTAAATGTATGACAACCTTATTATAACTTTATTTATTGCATCCTTCGATCACAACCACAAGTCTGAAATTCGCGAAAAGTGGTTTAGAATAAATAAATACCTTAAGGAAATCTTTGAGTCAACCAGCTGATATTGCTTTAAGGGGTTAATTATACTCCGACCAAAAGATTTGAAGTCCTTTCAGATTACTAGTCTCAGACTAGTGCACCACTAGTCCCTATCTTGATAGAGAACTATTATATTCGATTTTAATCAATAAAAAAATAATTAATAAATAATATGCTAATTAAATTCAAAATGATCAAATTATTCATGTTTCTTTCTATCAATTTTCTTTTTCTTTCTTTTCTATCGGTTTTCTGATTTTTATTACTGATATTTATAACTGTTTTAACAGCTAAGGAGTCAGCCTAACCAGAAATAACGAGCACCAACAATTTATTTATTTTCCAATCTGGTAGTTTTTTTTCATGATTTGCGGCCAATAACAGCAAAGAAAAAAATAATACCAAATTTTTTCCATGTTTCCTTATTGTGTAACTTCGTATATCCCTTAAATTATTTAATGCATTAAAATATAAAGATTTGACATCTGGAATAGACTAAAAGAAATTTACAATGAATGGTGGCATAAATCAAATAAAATTTAGAAACTGCCAAAAAATCTTATGAAATAACAGAATAAATAAATTGACTGACTAAATAGAAGTTTTTCGAAAAAAAATATTCATCTTTTACTATCGAAAATTTATTATTTTTACACATATTATTCATTACATTTTAAAACTTTTCTACAAATAAAATTTGAATATTTTTAAATTCAGCTTGCTGACGGTTTAATAGAATAAGCATCTTTAATAAAATTTTTTAAAGAATAATGGCTGATCGGTTTGGTCGTAAGAATGGTTTACTTATTAACGGCATTGCAAACATTATTGGTGCATTTTTGGAATTAATCGCAAAAGTAACACGATCACCAGAGTTGTTGATCGTAGGTCGAATAATTCTTGGTTTCAATACGGGATTAGCATCTGGTCTTGCGCCTATATATTTAATGGAAATTACGCCGAGTAAATATCGTGGAGCAGCTGGAACTATTCATCAGGTGCCATTTGTATCACTAAAGACTTGCTGTTCTTGGATTTTGCTCTTATAAGAAAATATTTACTTGTATTTTTTCATTAATTTTGATGAACAGCAATAAATGAATAATTTACAAAAATTTTAATCGAAACAAGAAGAATCGAAGCAATATGTTTTATAGTTAGCTGTTGCTTTCTCCGACTGGTTTTCATTGCTGATAGGACTTCCAGAGCTTTTGGGAAATGATCGACTATGGCCGGTAGCATTTGCATTCCCTGGAATTCAGGCACTTGCTCTTTGCTTAATTCTTCCTTTCTGCCCAGAAAGTCCTAGGTAAATGAGCACTTCATTGTCGTTTTTGCAAAATATATTTAAATATAATGAAAATATAATGAAAATAAAACTGAAATTCATTGGTCATTTTTTTTAGTCATTTTTTTTATCTCTGAAATTCTTCTAACGTTTCATTACTTCTGGTTTGGATGGCTCTACTTCTGGTTTGGATAGCTATTAAGATAAAATTCTTTGAACCACTTCTGGATAGAAGAATCTCCAGATAGATACAGGCACAGTCTCTAGTATTGTGTAGATTTCACTTCTAAAGAATCGTCTCCGTTTCTTGCAAATGGAAACCTTCCGTTGATAAACCGGATAAACCGCCACCGGGTCCTTCTATTTCGAAACTAAAACTAGGAAGTACAATTTATAGAAAACTTTGAAAATTTGCAAAAAAATATACTTATATATCAAATTATAATAATATTTAATTATCTACTAGATATATTCTATGGCATATGAAAGATAAAGATGAGACTATGTCAGTAATAAAGAAATTTGTTGATGAACAGCATGCAAATGATATTTTACATGAAATCATCGAAGAGACAAGCCAGATAAAAGTCTATTAAATATTTCCCTATTATAGCTTTTTCCAAATAAAAGCCAATAATTTTTCTAAGAACAATTAGTTGAAAAGCCAAGTAAATCGTTTGCTTTTTGAGGAATTCGTCCAAAATTTTAAATATATATGAAAACCTTATTTCATCCTTATTTTAATCTTTTGAAAAAAATATCCAAGAAGCTATAATTTTATTAGGGTTCGTATCGCGAGCTATTTACCAGAAAAGAGCTTCTGCGGCCGATGATGATTTCGTTATTGGTGATGATAACACAACAATTCACCGGCTGTTCGATTGTATTTGCTTATAGCACAAATATATTCGTGGAAGCTGGCTTATCGTTGTTAGTTTACTGCACTAGTTTCATACGCAAAACACATTCAAATTTCAAAAAAATCGTTGAATTAAAAAAAAAGAAGGAATCTTAATTCTCTTAATTATTTATAGACCAATAGCTCGATATAGTACACTGATAATCGGTATTGCTTATTTTCTCACTACCTGCCTTGCACCTTACTTGATTGAAAAAGTTGGTAGGAGAAAACTTTTGCTATTTCAATTATCTAGCTGCGAAATCGCAATTATATTGCTGATGGGTTTTGCATTCCTGCAGAACTACTGCGAAGTTGGTTGATTTTAATTATTAAGTGATAAATTATTATTTTTTAATCATCATGTTATTAAGTGACGAATTATCGTTTGAAATTGCTTAAAAGCCAGACGAATGCTGTATTCAGTTCACTGATAAAATAAAAATTTTTTCATGAAGAAAAGTTCAATGATGAAAGATCGCCTAAAAATTTTCAGAGCAAATTGAAATTCATCATCAAAAAAATTGATTAAGTAATTTATAGTTCGCGTGGGCATCAAACGGAAGCGCTATAGCACTTTTACTTTACATGCTTGTATATGGTGTCGGATCTCCCATTCCATGGATGATTACTTCTGAAATGTTTGACACAGAGGTAAAAAAAAAGGCACCACTGCGGCTTCCACGGAATTCACGCAAGAAGAACTTTAGCGAATTCCATGGCTAAAAACAAATCAGATCAAACGAAAACAACCTCGTTTTCGCAATAGACCTTAACCTTTCACCAAAATCTATTTAAAAATCAATTATTGGATTGCCTGGAAAGTTTGTGCCAGTTTTCGTAATCTTTAAGCTTGGGGCTTTGTTTTGATTTTGTTTTCTTTTATAATTATTTCTAACCTTAGAACTGATTATTCTGTTAGAATTTCGCAGATTATTTATTTGCAAAAAAATATTTAGGTTTTTTATCTGCTCTAAGAGAGCGAAAATTTGTATGAAAAATGGTGCAGTGTTTAAACTGGGACCATTCACCTAAATGGTTCAAGGGAATTGTCCGATGGTCAAAAAGCGTTATTCTAAAGATGCCTTTTCTGATTCAGGACGTTTTTTTGGATCGTTATCTTTATTTGACTCAATTGACTGTTAGCGATATTCACTTACTCACTTAGATCTCACCTGACTCATAATATAATGCTGGTACAACATGGCTTTTTCAAATTGGAGAATGCTTGCGCTTAATCGTAGTTCACTCCGCATACTTTTTTGATTGATATTGTTATAATTGATACATTATTTATTTTATACTTTTATAGATAGCAAACAAATTCCGCGAATCCATATGGCAGCAATTTGTTTAACATGGAAAGATCGCTTTCGATATTAAATTGTGGCTTTAGGCCAACTCCTGTGCATTGCTTTTTAAATTGTGGCTTTCTCCTCTCTGCCAGAGCCTCAGTTTATTTACTGAGCATTTTCATTACTCTTCCAGTCATTGACTCTAAAATCAGCAAATTCTTCGTGGGCAATTTTTCTTAGACCAAGCGACATAGCTGTATAAATTGTTCTTATGCATTGTTTGCTCCTCGGTGACTTTCCTTTCCCAGTGCTTTCCTTTTGCTCCTCTGGTAACAGGTGCTTTCCTCTTTATTTCAAAAAGGATTATTATTGCGAACTAACAAATCAAAAACAATTTGATTATTGAAGACCGGCACTTTCCGGACAACCCAATGTTTTGAAATGTTTATACAGAGTGGCTTTTTATAAAAGTGAATGATAATTTTAAGTTTCGATCTGCTGCTGTGACAGTGGCAGTGTTCATTCTGTGGTCACTTGTTTTCGTTACTACAACAGCCTTTTTGCCGTTCCAACAGGTCGCTTTTCTGCTATAGTTGGATAATAATTATTTTTGGGAGAAGATTTCAAGAAAATCAAAGTGAACAAGATGTTTTAGCTCGAAAAAAAATACATTTTAAACTAAAATCGATGAAATTTAATGAAGAAAATTTTAGCTTGTCGGAGTGACCTTAAGTTATTTGCCTTTTATCTTCGTAATGGCGACCAGCATAACTTTGATATGGCGATTTCTTCCAGGCAAGAAAAAACTATTTTTGTGAAGATAAGTAGGTGAGATGGGCCAAAATAAAGAAAAAATCCACAGTTTCCTCATTTTTCTTCCTGTTTGATTGTGTGAAAGCATATGAACATGACTTGAAAAAAAAATTTAATATTTTTAAGTTACCAGATGGTGTTGGCAATAGCTTTTTTACCGCCAAATAACTTTTTGGAAAAAAATTTCTAATCGAACAACCAGCGGAGCGAGCTTAATCGGAAATGATAAACATAGTGTAATGAAAACTTACTTCTTTAAAAGGTAGAGTAAGGAAGAAATTGCAGAAACACGACGTAAGACACCAAAAATGATATCAGAGGATATCAAAAGACGAATTATAAACCTAAATCGGAAAGAAAATAAGAATTCAGAGAATGCAAGAAATGCAAGAATTTGAATAAACTATGAACCAAGAGACGAAAGATTTTTGCGTACGTTTTTGGCTATAATTTTTTTATCAATTGAAATCGTTAGATAAGCAAATTTAAAAATAAGTAAGGTTAGCAAAATGTTAAATTCTGTTTGACCCCGCGAATTGGTTCATTATTATTATGATTATTTTCGCTGAACTAATTTCGTTAAACATAAAAAATTCCGGTCAAATTAGTAACTATTTAAAATGACGATTTGTCAGATGTTAGTTTAGATAAAAAATTAGGAACAAACTGTTGGATTACAAGGAAATCCGATAATCTTAAACAAATACATAGGTAGAAAAGTGAGTGGTAAGTGAGTGATATAAAGTGAGTAGTGAGTGGTGAGTGAGTGAGTGGTACAGCAAATATGATTGAAGTTCATAAAGTGAGTGCGAGTAAGTTTGTTCCGACTGAGGTCAAACATTTAAACAAGACAGCTTGAAAACCTGTGATTAGAAGAGAAACTCAAGCGATGTTAAGGATGTTCAATTTTCAAGCGATTAGCCGAAAAAGGAACTTCTAAGAGTCTTCTAAACCAGTGAAGTGAATTGAACCAGAGGGAAAGACTTTATCAATTATTAATTGTCAAAATAATTTGATCTTCATCCACATAACGAATATTCTTCTAGATTTGCATTCAAATCCAAGCGAACGTGGAACCTCTTCATAATCGAAACCATAACGAAAACCTCCTCACCTCCTCACATTGTCCTATCGTTTCCAGCAACTTTTTTCCATAAAAGAACACTAATTTATGTGAAACAATAACGAAACCTTCTCCTTTGGATCATCGAAAATTGAACGAGCGATAGAACGAAATAAAGCGACAAAATTTTATGCAGTGATTTGCTATTCTTACAATTATCAACAGCAAATATGATTGAAGTTCATAAAATTTTCTAAAAGAGAAAAAGCAAATCAAAAATACAAAAAATAAACTCATCAATAGTGAAATTATCGCGCATATTTTTCATAATTTATGCTTTAATTTTTTAATTCTCACAAAATTTTGTAAAATTCATTTATTTATTTCGAAAAGAATATCGCATTAATATCTTAAAAATTAAATGATGAAAAACAGATTCAATTAATAAGTAATAAAATAAAATAAACGATTGACAGCCGAAGAAAAATAAAAGAAAAAAATGGATTTTTCAAGAAAAACAAAACATTCGAAATGATGTGAACAGAATCTGAAATTTTTCCTTTAATTGGCATAATTTTTTCGAATATTTCATAAAATTCCGTAATAATTTAAATTTAAAATTCCCTAAAATTCCCTAAAATTTCCATATTTAAAAAAAATTTTCTCATAGAATATTTTCCTAAAATATAGAAATTTCCTTCCTAAATATTATAATTTCTTAATTTTCATAAGTAAGAACGCTTGCAAAGACAATACTTTGTTATTGAAGGTGAATCCGATTTGAAGGCAAATTCTGCGATATCTCGGTCATCCTTTGCTTTGTAAGGATGATCCAAATAAGAATCCATGGAAAACTTGTTTACACCATTCCACTCAAAATCATAATCGCATGATTATCGCATAACATTTGGATGTACGAGTGGGACATGGTATTGTCAACATCTTCTACGCCCTGCAAATATGGTACTGTGCCAATGAGAAGTTTCGCCTCGTTAAGAAGCGGGAATTTTTCCCACTAACATGTTTTTTAGCGTATAAGACTCCCCAGAAATTCAAGATTTCAATCAATTAATATTGGCCGATCACTAGAAGAATTCTTATATTGCGGCGCCGAAGATGATAATATTCACGCGTCAGACCATATGAATAGAATGAAACTGACAACGCGCAAAAAATAGCGTTCCTATTATGACTATCTGAAACCAAAAAGCGCTTCGCCTGATGAAAGAATTCTTTAAATCTGAACTCAATCACTATGGGCCATCCAACATCATGATTGGAAAGCATTTACAGTTAGATATTACCGCAGTTGCAACCCACCATTTAAACACGAAACGATTTTTGTAATTCAGAAGCTTAAGGCCAATAAAATTCCTATAGATAGTATCTAAGAATTAAACTCTTCAAATGCCCAATGCTCTTCAAAACTTCCGCTTGCAAAAAGCTATTCAGTGATACATGAGGATCAAATACCATATGATTGCAAAAAGGTAATAAGATCCATCGCGACAACTGACGAACCAGGCATTCCCAAAAAATGATTTTTGGTTCCTTTTTTCCCAAATAACTCATGATGACAGTAAGATGCGCCTTAAATAAGTTGGATTTGTCGCAAAAGGCGAATACAAAAAAAAACAAATTAAATTTCTCAAATAAATGCTGTGATCAGCATACTAACCTTAAATTCCATTCCTTTTTTTATAAAAAAACCGAATTTATCATACAAAATCTCATTTATCATACAACATCTATTCAAACGTAAATATATAACTATAGTTTTTATTACACCTGTTAATTTATTACATCTGTTAATTATGCACTGTATGCTATTCGCACAAAATGTTTTTTTGTTAATGAAAATAATATATATATATATAATATATAAATATATATATTTTTTTCTTTTTCATTTGTTCTAAATTTTTTTCTTAAATTTTATTGTTTATAAATTTATATTACAATAAAGATAAGAAATTCCTAGGCTACTTGGGTACAAACGGCAAGCCATTAGACCAATAATTGTGAATCGCATTCCTCCCGATTGAAGTCATTTTCGATAGTTTGTCCAACATATACTAAATCTCGACAATCCCTTCCCAACAGCCTCAGTCCTCCACAACAGAATTTGATGAATTTTCATGCTTTTATTTTAAGTAAGACATACAAAACCACGATGTTTCAGAGAATTCGATTAAATAAAGCACTTTATCAACCTATGCAAGTTCAAACATTTCTAAATACGAACCAGCGTGCTTCAAGATTGCGTCTTCTTCCACTCCACTATGCGAAAAATTTGGTTATGGACTCTTTGCTGGCTCAAGAGATCTACAAATCAGTCCAGAAAACAATATTATAGACTACATAATAATAATGTCCTTGATAGTTGTGATTGCAATAGATATTTACCAGATCAAAAATGGCGAAAGTTAAGAAAGTTAAAGGTAAGTTTCGGAACGAAAATGCACCTGATTATAATATGCACAAACTTATAAGGATACAAAGCCAATGGCCAATGAGAGTGGAGGATATTAGAAAGTATCTCTCTTTCATACCAT